GGAAGAGAAGCAGCAAGGGATCCCTTGCTTCCCTTCCGATAACCCACTTCATATGTGCAGGTAAAATGAATATAACTAATGCGCACAGGCGGCAGAGGACTCCCTGCTCCGTGTATACACAGCATCAGTCAATCTAGTCCTTACAACCACCAAATAAGATGACACTATTTTACCTCACTTCCCAATGAAGAAACTAGGGCGTGGAGAGATCAAGGAACTCACCCTGGTCACAAGGCAGGCCTAGAGGAGCTAGGGTTTGAACCAGGGCTGCCTGGCTCCTGACTTACGTGGCATTTCCACGTTGTCTATGTAACTGAACTTCCTTTCTTTTAGACTTTGTGAAATGGATACAAGAAAGGGTGGGAGGAGGAAAGAGGTATAAAGGAAGAGAAAAATGTTGGTTTCAGTTAACTCTTTCACCCTAGCTTTGTCCTCCTAAGATTCGTGTTTTGGAAGTGGGTCCCCAGTGTTGTGGCATTATGAGGTGGTGAAACCTTTAGTGGGGAGGGCCTGGGATCATTGGGGGCCTTATGGTGTTTTGTGAATTCCAAGAAAATGAGTTACCGTAAAACGGCAAGCCCTCTCTGGTTTCTGTATGAAGGTGTGATGCCCCCCCTCCCCCCGCACCCCCGATGTGGCACTGCCAAGAGGCACCCCCATAAGAGTTGGCACCATGCTGTTCAGACTGTTAGCTAAATCTACCTTCTTGTAGGTAACCTTAGGTGTTTTGATATAGAAATGGAGAGCAAATATAATTCCTAAGGCACACTGTTCATTTTCATGTGTATGTGTGCATGATATTAATGAGCATGTCTCTGTGTGTTCACATATTTGTGTTCTGGTGCATGTGAATATAGACACCTGAAGTTGAAATCGGCAATTTTCCTCAATTACTCTTCTGCCCTTTTCCTTGGAACAGGGCCTCTCAACCAAAACCCAGAGCTCAACAATATGGCTAGCCTCATAGGTACCTTACTCTGGAGAGCCCTGTTTCTGCCTTCTGAGGCTGAAATTACAGGCAAGCCACCATGCCCACCAGGCAATCATGTGGGTTCTGGGGGCATCTGAACCCTGGTCCTCTTGTTTGCATGGTAGGCACCATTTCTCCCGCCCCTGCACATTTCTATTGATGTTATCATTCTCTATTTCCAGCTAGCTAAGTTGTAACTCAGCTGTCAAGATGCAGGTCAGGGCCGGGCGGTGGTGGCGCACGCCTTTAATCCCAGCACTTTGGAGGCAGAGCCAGGCGGATCTTTGTGATTTCGAGGCCAGCCTGGGCTACCAAGTGAGCTCCAGGAAAGGCGCAAAGCTACACAGAGAAACCCTGTCTCAAAAAACCAAAAA